TTGGTATATATAACCCTATATCTGACTCTTTTAGTTTTAGGACTTAGAAACAACCGTTATGTGAACAAAACTATAATACTCTCCTTAGCAACTTTGTTGCGAGAGTATAAAAATTGCAACTCTGAATGGTAGTATGCAGATCCAGTAAGTACATCCATTTTTCACTAATATGTCAAATATCAATAGCGAGATGAGTTATACAAATTGTGTTTCTACTAAATACGAAAACTTAGTAAACAATAAATTAACGGATAAAACTTAAACCGATTATGACAAGGGACATACATTTGCTAAATTAACCTTGGCATTGTGTTAGTGTTAAGGCTTTCCCACATTCGTTTACATTAAAATGTTAGTAAATTCTCATTTTATGTGACAGCTTTATTTTTTGTGGGTGAGTTAATTTTTATCTCTACTATATTGTATTATCTCTTTAACTTTTCTAAACATTCAAGCATCAATATGGTCACAGTTCTCTCTAGATTATGTTCATGCTTGCTCAGTCGTGAATTGGTTTTTATGTCAAATAGTTCGTGCAAAAATCGTTTAGTAAAATATTTTAGATAGTGAATTAGTTTTGGTGAACATTTTTTGAATAATTAAATATTGTATTAATATCCTTAAATACAGGTACATAAATTAAGAAGATAATTCTTTAATTATCGTAATAATTACACAAATGCTGAAACTTTTATTTTTATATGATAGTACATTGTGAGTGCATGACACCAAAATATTGTTTATCAAAAATATAGCAATTTCGCTCTAATCAAATTTATGAATGCGAAAATATATAATGATAATATTATACTAAATGCTTTAACTAAAACTAGTAAATACCCCATTACGAAGCGGTATTTCATGTTAGTTGTAGGACACGTTGGTCGCTACTTTGTTGAGATGGATGAGCCAATAAAATTTGAGGAAGTGATGATAAAACTTATAAATTTACACATTAACTTTTAATAAGGTACGATAATATATTTGGAAATTAAAAATGGGGCTTACCACTTTATTTGTGAATCATTTGTACTGTTGTTATTTATAATGAAATCAGGGAGATGCAAAGATGCTTAATCGGTGAAAAAGAATAATACCTGGCGAAGAAACTTAATATACTTCTCTTATCCCGGTTGATTGGAATAACGTTCGTATGAAGTTTGATTTCCATATGTAAATTAATGAATGTTTGATACCTATTTGTTTACAAAGAGTAAGGTTTGTCTGGCGACTTTTGATATGAACTGAAGAACTATTTGAGTGGCACCAAACATAAAACCATAACGTAAAGTAATAGCAAAGCTATTTCCTGTGAGTCGTAACATCCACTACTATTAATGACGACAACATCGAAAAAATAAAGAAACAGTGCTTGAAAATCACTATATCAACATCTTTTATAATGGTGTACGTATGAAGCACTTCAATGCCACACTCACAAAAAAATAATTTAATCTTTTGCTAAAACGACATCGAGAGAAGGTAGCAAAAGAGATACTGGTAGCTCTCGTAGTGTGTTTATTAACAGGAGTTGTACATGCCCAACAATCTAGCGATCAGGGCTCCAAAAAAGAGACAAAATCGAAATAATTAAGTTCGATGAAGTCAATAAAGGATTAAGCATTATCAGGCTTGTAGTGACTCATGAGATTTTTTTACGGGGATAATAAAGATTTCTATTAAAGTTTTTTTTGGCAGATAGTACACTTCGTCGTTGTGTTATAATATTTTCCAATATTCATATTTCTTTTGATAAGTTAACGAAAAATAAAAATAAATAGTAACAAATGAACGCAATTATTATCTGCCAATTTTCTGTGGAGCCGACCTATAAGAGATGTTTTTATGCTTTATTTTTGATCCCAGCACGTCGAGGGCTGAAGCCGCTCGACCTTCCCAAGCGACATCGCTTTACTTTATGGGCTCTTGAAAAGTTCAAAAAAGTTCCGTCGTTCTCCAGCCAAATTTTGGTCAGCGATAAGACTTATTTCATCTAGAAAACACGGTCTGATGTGGTTTGTGGGCCAGAGAAATCATTCGTTCACATTTCTTCAAAAATGATCCGGCTACAAACGTAATCACYAATGGCGACCATTATCGGGCTATGGTATGCGACTATTTTATGACCGAATTGATGCTCGTGATCTCGGCGACATTTCTTTCAACGAATGAATATATTGACAGAACACTTTGGAATATGTAAAGTCTAAGGTCTATGCGAACAATCCCCCAAACCAATCATCGAAAGTTGGACTCAACGGATGTACCATCTAAGACGTAACCATGGCCAACATTTGAAAGAGATAATCTTCAAAAAATAAATGCCAAAGAATGTTCTTTCATATGATAATAAACACTTCCCCATTAAATTTTAAGTTTCTAAGTCTAATCATTAAACATTTTAGGAAACTCGAAATGGATCAGCCTTAAATTTCAAAACTCCTAATATAAGACTAACATGATTACAACTTAACTATACGTAGTGCCGTAGTTAAGTATTAGAAAACTACTCAATATATTACCATTGAAATCGATATACAATCAATCCGCGTTAACTACCACTACCGTCACCGACTATCACTCATATCGAGCGGAAGTTTGATTTTTCGCGGTCCTTTTTGCACTTGATTCTTTAAGTCAATACTCAGTGCTTTGTTCTTTTAGTTGATCTAATTGATCTAATGAGTACTTTCTAGAGTACGGTAAAATATAGTGAATACAAGTTTATAAATTGAAACATAATAACAATGGCTTCTGATCCCCAACCAAAACGGAAAAAATTTAAAAATACAATTTGAACCTTTTCCCAGTCTACCAGAAATACAAGTTAGAAATCCTAAATATCATATCGTCCGTTGACATAAATAAACCATTCAATAGATATAACTGTTTTGCAATTCATTCTGCATTTAAAATAGTAAGCAAAGAAATTATGAAAGTCATAGAATTACGTGAGAGAAGTCTATGCCTATTATCAAAAGACAAATCAACCGCCGAAAAGTTCATTCGTACTAAATTTTTATACGGTGTCTGTGAAGTTAATACAAAATACCATGAAAAACTCAATAACTCAAGGAACAATATATGCCCCATACTTAATGGATTTAAGTGACGAAGAAATCGTTAGTAATTTATCTGTCCAAGGAGTTGTAGGAGTATACAAATTCTCCAAAAACATAGTTGGGAAACCTAAACATATCGGAGTCTGTCTCCTTACTTTTGACAGCTACCAACTTCCTAACCGCATCGATGTCACATGGCTTTCAGTCAAGGTTAGACCTTATTTCCCTAACCCCATGCAATGCAAAAAATGCGGTAAATTAAATCACAGTGCGAAACGCTGCAAGAACCCAAAAATGTGCGAACACTGCAATCTACCCCCCACAACCCCGACGTATACACTCGTACAATGTGTACAAAATGCTCAGGAAACCATCCACCTTTTGACAGATAATGTAAAATGAAAGAAGCGATTAACATATATAAAAATCAAACTCCATCAATTGTTGGTTGCTCTTCTTTCGCATCTATTATCAATACCCCAATTACTAATAACAACCTGAAACACACATTAAAAGAAACAACAGAAAGCGTAAGCCAAAAAACCCAATTTAAAGCTTTCTATTGATCAACAACAAAATCCAACATCAAATATCATCTGTTTTCTTCGAATTTCAAATAATGATAACGGACTATACGAATTCTTATCACAACGTATAACCAAATACCAAAAACTTCTACCTGGTCAAAAAAACAACGAAAAAACAACAATCCAACAGAAACCAATAATACCACAAATAGCTTTACCTACAACAACAACGACCAACAACATATTAGCATCGAAAAAACACTAAATCCGAACCCAATTCCTTCACTCAATTCTCCTTTCCTCCTCCTCTTTCCCATGCAAACAATAATTTATTATTATACAAGTAACCATTACCAACAAATAAGCAAGACCCACAATATATTTACACACATAAGTATAACAACATAATACTCCTATAATTTCCTATGTTATTTTTTCAATGGTCTCAATTTTGCAGTGGAACATCCATGGCTATTTCAATAATTATCACGAATTGCAGCTAATTATTATATTTAAGACTTGAAACCTTCAGTCCTATGTTTACAACAAACACATGTACGTCATTATATCTATCCTAAACCTCCATGTGGCTACAATGGATATTTTTTTAATAATCGTCAGTGCAACACAGAAGACAAGGTGTGGAAATTTTGGTAAAAATGAACATACCACATAAAATGGCTTCCACGGATAATACCTTACACACTATCGCGATTGAGATACTAATCAACCCGAAACTAACAACAATTAATACCTGCATTCCACCTAAACAAAATTTCTCCTCCTCAGACATCTTACACATTTTGAAGACACCTCATGGAGCCCGATTTGGCGTTCTCCTTTATCAGACGATAGAGATACAAAAATTGAAGATGCCTTATTATGCAGCAATCTCATAGTTTTAAACGATGGCAACCTTCCACATTTCTCCACCCATCTATCTTTCACTCATGTATACGTTACTGCATGTTAGTCCAATATTTTTCCTTTATCAATCCGCGTCCTTAGTGACCCTCATGGCAGTGATCATTTTTCATTGACGACAGAAATCGGGTTTCACGCAGAAACGTCAACAAAAGAGTTTAAATCAATTTTTCTAACCAAATAAATCCAAAAGCCAATTGGATTAGTTACAAAGATCTTTGTTCATCTATATCTAAAAAATATATTTGTTCTAATAATAGCATATACGGAAAATAATATGTTCGTCAGCACATCACACCATACCTCAAACCAAAAATACATATCAATACCGATAACCGACCGGTGGAATAGTGAACTAGAAAATCTTAGATCACTAAAACTCAAAAGCTGGTATAAGTATAAAGAAATACGTAACCTTCTAAACCTATAGACGCGACAATGCTATTTTAAAACGACAAACCAAATAGGCAAAGAATGAATCCGAAAACCTCGCCTCGACAGGTTTGGCGAGATAAGATGCTTGTCTGGCGGGAAAAAACCTAATAAAATTAATTATTTCAACACCCAGTTTGGATTAACAAACGACCGAAATTTCATAACGAACGCGTTCGCCTCTTAGTGGAGCTCTTATTCTGTATACTCCCACCTAACGACAACCTTAGCAATTAAGCGCTAAATTTAAACTTAAATATTTCCACTGCCGAATTTGATGACGCAATTTCCACCTCCAAGGGTAAAACTCCTGGTTTAGACAGGATATCCTATGACATGCTAAGAAAAATCCCATAAGACGATAACAATAGAATAGTTAATCGTTATAATAAAATACTGTCAGACGGTATATCCTCATAGTTGGAAAATAGCTGAAATTCTTCCAATAC